TTTATTTGTTTATTTGCTGCTTTTACTTGTTTGTCTGAGAAATGTCTGTTATTTCAGGTAGCCATTTTTTAATTGGGTCTTTATATTAGGGGTCTGATTTTTTTAAGTTCTTCATATATTCTAGATAGTAGACCTTTGTCTGGGGAACAACTGGTAAAAATTTTTTCCTACATTGTAGATTGTCTTAGCTTTTCTTTTTTGATCCTCTTCCAGATCCTAATTGTTGAACACAGAAAAGGCCATATTCAGAATTGGGTCATAGGTGATGGGGTTCCCATTGAAGTTTCTTCATTAAACAGATAGGAGAGACTCATAACCCCCTGAGAAGCAGGTGGGGATGTAAGGATAGGATCATCAAAGATAATATCTCTCTCTTTCTTGGAGGCCACTCTAAATACCACAGTCTCTGGGCTTTTCTGGAGATAAAGTCACAAAAGCCTAAACATGAGGAATTTCCTTCTAACTTCTGTGTTTTAAGCAGAAACAATTTATCTGCAAAATGGTTTCATAGTTTAAACTGCCATCCATACCTATCTTTTGCCATTTCCTAGTTCATATTAAACCCAAACCCTATTGCAATAGTAGACAAGCTATTCCTTTTTAGAATTGGCTGGGTCAAACCTTTCCCATTGACAAAGGATATAGCCTAGTGGTGTTTGCAAGGCATGATTCATGCAGTTTCTTATGGCTCATCCTGAGTCCTATAGAGTCAATGAGATCTTGGCTTTTTTTTTTTTTTTTTTGGTACTGGCAATCGAGTTTGGGACCTTGTGCTTGCAAGGTAGGCAGCGGCACCACTGAGCTAAATCCCTGGCCCTAGATCTTGGTTTTTTAAAATGGTGTCCTATGCAGAAGGAGACCCAACCAGCCCGCAAAGTGTCCCTTGTGAGAGACAAATATTCATTAGATAGATATCTCTGTCCAAAGCTAGGATGATGGTGGCATCCTTCATAGAATCATAAAGTCTTCCTGAGAGTGAGGCTCGTATTGGTGCCCACTAATTCTTTAGTCATTAGGGAAATGCAAATCAAAATCACATTAAGCTTCTATCTCAGAGTGGTTTTCAACCAGAAACAAATTCTCACAAAGATGCCAGGAAAAAGGAAGTGTTTGATGCTCTTGGGAATGTAAATTAGTACATTCACAACGGAAACCAGTGTGAAGGTTCCTCAAAAAACTGAAAATAGGACTGTTACCAGAGTGGGACTCTTGTCCAACTTCTTGATGTCCTAAACAAAGAACTGAGCATGACACCCAACAGTAGCAACACGATCAATGTTTTATTTGAAAGACAGAACAGAGTTCACAGAGAGGAGCAGGCCAGTCAGAAGAGCTCACAGCACTGAGAGGGTGGGGTTGGTTTTGAGGGTGTTACATTTTAGAGTTTGGATTGGGATTGGGGAGTTTGAGCTGAGGTATGACTTGCTAATGAGCAGCTTGACTCAGCCTGTCTTTCTGGCAGTGGAGTTTTTAACCTTTTGTAGTTCGTGGAGCAACTGTCATGGTGGTGGTGGTGGTTGGTGTGTGTGTGTGTGTGTGTGTGTGTGTGTGTGTGTGTGTAAAATCTGCATAGTAAGTGACATAGTAATTATACTTGGGGTTGACCAAGGGGTGCAGACCATTGGTCACATGTCCAGAGACTTGTTGTGTAGGTTCTACTACCTAGCTATCTTTTTCTATTGGGTTTATATCTGGATATCCTAGTTCAGAGTTGTTTAATTCAGAAGGTGGATCTAGTCCCAGAAATCAGGCTCCAAGGCAAGCCCTCCCTTCTTTTTCCAGCTTTTTCCTTACGTATCTCTTGCTTCAGAACTACCATGACCAGTTACATCATTCCTTGGAATGTACTGTAAGGAATTAAAAGGTCCTATACTATAGGGACACTAGCTCATCAATGTTTATAGTGGTATGATTCACAATAGACAAGAAATGGAACTAGCCTAGGTTCTCATCAACAGATAAATGGATATATAAAATAAAAATCAAGGCAAAACTCCATAGCAAACCAATTACTGCAAACTTCAGATGCCACACAAGCCACCAAGACTGGGGCAAAAGGAACAATGCACATGGTAGGTAAAACAGCCAAAAAACAGGACCAGACTAGGACTACAGCAAGCCTTTATTATGGGGAGGATCTGCCAGGCTGTCTCCTAACAAAGGAACAGCAGCATGGCGGAACAGGAAGCTTCTTTGATAGCTGAGTGGTGTTAACCTGAGCGCTGGGTTGGAGTTGAGTGAGGTAGCATTAAGGGATTAGAGGAGCCTGTGACATCACTAGCTGCTAGGAGGTAGCAAGTATTAGGTTGCTTTTTTGGTGGGAGAAGAGGCATGATGGGAAGAAACCTGTCCTTTGTTGGGAGAAGCCATATTTTAACATGGAGGCTGCTATTCTATGTGGCAGCCATCTTAAGGCAAGGCAAATCTAACAGCCTCTATAAAAATTTTTTGGATATTTCTTTAATGGTTATCTTTAAATAATATTTTTGAAAAAATAATGAATCACTGAAGAGTATGTTAAAACTTATTTTGGTTTAAATATTTTAATTATACCAAAATAGGAATTTATGACAATTATATTTTCTCTAGTTAAAAAAATAAGCGATGCTGGAGACAACAATATCCAATTTCAAAAAATATTGTAGAGTGATTGTAACAAAAATAGCATGGTAATAGCAGAAAAATAGACACATAGATCAATGGAATATAAAAAAGGACACATTAAAAACAACTCATGAAGCTCTAGCCATTTGATTCTTGACAAAGGAACTAAAAGAGAAAAGATAACCTCTTTAACAAATGGAGCTGGGCAAACTGGATATCCACATGTAAAAGATTGAAATTCTATCATAATCTCTCACTTTGCAAGAAAACCAACTAAAAGTTGGTCAACAATCTAAATGTAAGACTTTGAAACTACTAGAAGAAAATAGAAGGGAAACATTTCATGGTATAGAGATGGGCCATGACTTCCATTTAGGACTCTAGTAGCTCAGGAAATAATAGCAAAAATTTTCAAACAGGATTGCATCAAATTAAAAAAAGCATTTCTACTGCAAAGGAAACAACACAGTAAAGAGATAGCCTACAGATAGAAGAAAACTTCCAGCTATTGTTTTGACATGGGATTAATATCCAGAGTATATAAGGAACTAAAACAAACAAACAAACAAACAAAGGAATAAGTAATCCAATCAATAAGTTTGCAAATGAACTCTACAAATACTTCTTCTCAAAAAAAGTTCAAATGGCGTATAAGTATATGGGAAAATGTGTCCAATGTCTTTGCACTTGATCTTAGCTGGAAAAAAGTGTCCAATGTCTTTACACTTGATCTTAGCCAAAAGGCCAAAAGAGCAATGTTTCCAATGTCTTTACCCATGACCAACATGCAAGTAACTACCATCAAGCACCCCATGATACAATCATCTCTCCAGAAGTTTCTTAATGCCGTCATATTGACAATTAATGTAGTGTGGGAAGTGATCAAATATGTTACATGCATATTTGAAAATGTCAAAAAATGAAACGAATTAGTTTATTTTATTAATGTGCATAAATTAAACATGTATACATAAACATGTATATAGGAGCATACTTTTATTTTGTCTTTTGCCTTGGGCTCTGAAGTGACTTCATGTGGAACTGTCAACAGATGTAGTTAGTACATTGTGCTTTAGCATACCCAGCTCACAGTATAACACAGAACTCTGGCTGTTTAATCTATTCGATCAAACAAACAAAACATCTGAAGAGGTTATCCATTCACATTTTTCATTATTCCAGGAATTGCCTCTGTACTTACTTTGGCTAAGTATTAGTTAAGTGTTCCTCTTTTAACAATTGAATTCCATTCCTGCAACTAGGTTGTTAACTGAATTGGTCACTAAATGAGGAATTATATACAGTATGTACAATACTATATTCAGAACAAAGTAATGGTCAAGGGAAACTCCAGCAGGATGACTTTGCTTTTATTTGTATAACTCTTACATGCAGTACTATAATGTGTAATATTATACATTACAAACACAAACTACAGTACTGTACTATACAGTACAATCAGCAAAAATTACAAAACAAAGTGTATGTACAAAAAAAGACTCTGAAGTTCTATAAACAAGATGTACAGTGGCTGCAGCAGGTCATATGTCTGAGCAGTGTGCCTCCATCCTAAGTCCAAACAGCAGTTAAACAGATAGGTTGTTAAATGATGAACATCTGTATTTCTATTTTCTGTTTAAGAAATGTACAGTACTTCTTAAAATGAAAGTAAAAGTGCCACAAATGTGCTTGAGCTCCAAAACCAGTTAACAGGAGAAAATAACTTTTTCCAGTTTGGGTTAAAAGGCAAAATTAAACAATACACATCTGGATTTTGGATCATGGTTATACAAAAAGATATATTTTGAAAACTCTCTTGCCAAAGTTGATATTTTATTCAGCATTGCATTGCAAAGAGTGTCTGTTTAGCAACAGGGTTTCGAGAAATGCAAAATCTGTATTTTTCTTGAAAAAAATATAGAGGGTCCAATGCTTCATTTGCTGCTGGAGCTTTTTGTAAGTTATTCAAATAGAGCTCCACAGGAGGGTTGAGTTATTAAATAGCTAGCTTGTGAGGACATACTACTTCTGTTAGATATGGGGAGAGAAAACTCTGAGTACTTTAAGAGTCGTCCTGTGTGAGAAAGCAAGCAGCTTCCTAGGTGCTATGTTTGGCCTTCTCTGGGGGCAGGGTGCACACTTGGGAGAGGCTCAGGGACATGCCTGGAGTGGCTGCTGGGCTCTTCCTGAGCCTGGAGGCTGACATGGTGTTGAGAAGTAAAGGAAGGGAGCTGTCTGCAGGCAAAGCAAGGGGCGGACGCAGGAGCCGGAGAAAGCGCTGCAGCTGCTTTGGACTGAAGGTAGACAGGGTCAGGCTGTCAAAGAGGTGTGGTACAGGGAGGAAATAGCACCAACGGAAATGAAATAGTGAACTGGGGTAAACATTCTCTCTGCAGGCAGACTAACACCTCTTGGGAGCAAAAGAGTGGCAGAAACGGAAAAAGCAACTGTGACTCTGGAAATACCCAGGCACCGACAGAGGATGGACAGGCAAGTGAGAAATACCTGGGTTCTTTAGGAAAGAAAAGAGGAACCTTCCGAGGAAGGGTGCTTCATTGGAAGGGAGGAGGCAGGAACCCCCTAGGGGGCCACCAAGCCTGGGTGCTTGGAGGGAGGGGCTTTGAGGTATCAGCTCCCAATGATCCCACCTGATATTATTAATAGTCCCTTTGAAACGCTTGTCTTTTCATAGCCTGGAACAGACAACTGAGACCTTGCTGTGTCTGTCGCCCGCTGAAGTTTCCAGTCTCAAAGAGGGAATCAATTTTTTGCGAAATAAGAGCACCGGCAAAGACTATATCTTGTACAAGAATAACGGCCACCTGAAGGCATGCAAGAATTTGTGCAAACACCAAGGAGGATTGTTCATAAAAGATATTGAGGATTTAGATGGAAGGTACCAAGAATCTTTTGCTTTCTCATTGGCAACCCTGCTGGCGTTGTACTCATCTGGAAGTTTTAAATGAACCAATCATCAGATTGTTTCCTGCAGTAATTTTGAAAGTTTTAACTCTTCATTTAGAATCTCTCTGATCTCAGAACTGTAGGTTGCACTTAGTTTTCTGCCCTGAACTTATTCTCAGCTTGATCCAGAGTGAAATGTCCAGGTTCCATGCGTCTCTGTGTTTGAGTGTTTGCTTGTCTGTGGGGAGCGTTCACAATCACCTCCTAGAAGTCCCCTCTCCCTGTCCCCCAGGAGCTCCAGTGGGGTGGGCCAGGGTGCACATTTCCAAACCCTGCTGGGAAGCAGTGAAGATTTTCCTGGCAGCCTAGTTTCTATTACAAAACAAAAGTGGCAGAAGCTCAGGTGTCCCTGCCCTCTGCCCTCTGCAGTGACTGTTCTGGTCATTTGTTAGCAGAACTAATGTTTTTGTTGTCTTCCACCATAATCCAGCACATCTCTCTGGAGCACAGCAGCAGTGCTAGGACAGAATGGTTTTCTTTTTAGTGACTGCTGAAGAGATAGCAGTACTGCTGTCAGGCTCTGGAGGAGCCTGAAAAGATTCTCGGACTTCTGCTCTGTCAGCCTAATGCTGTGTGTGAGTGGTTGTTAGCCCCACCTCGCAAAGCTTTCTTCAGCCCAATTTAATCCATGTGAGTTTAGCCATTAGTGTCAGGCACTTTTCTTCCATTGTGTCACCAGTCTTATTTCTCAGGGAATTTGTGGGCAGTCAGTGCTGGTGTTCTCAGAGGGAGCTGTGTAGATGTTCAAACATTCTCAGCTACAGTTGCACAAAAGAAAGTCACCCAGGTCTAGAACATTCACACACCAACGTACTGACTTCCTTTGCCACCCAAATAGCTTCACAGCCCATCTCTATATATTCTTAGATTTTTAAATGTTTTCCACTGGTGTGCCTGGAGCTTGTTTGGCCCCTCTGAATTGTGGCGATGGAAGCCTCAGACCTTACTGTAATCGGGGTGTTGACATTCTTTTGTGCCTATTGTAGTTTCAGGATTCTGTTTTTTCTTTCCTCTTAGCCATTTCACACAGCGGATACTTGGCTGACCATTTAAGGAGGTGCTGAGGTTTAGTGGTTAATGTGTGATCTTCCCTCCCCACTGCCTGGTTAGAGGGCTGCTTGTACTCACCAGCTTGGTAGCAACTGAGAACAAGCCGAATAGCCTCGCTGGGCCATGGGCCACTCATGTATAAAGTGAAGATGAAAATACTCTGTCCAGTTCTTGAGAGGATTAAATGTGTCAAATATATAAAAGTTAGTTAAGAGAAGGTCACCTGGTGGCATATAGTCAGCACACAAAAAATGTTCGCTATTATGAACTATACCCTAAACTTCTTGTGCTGCCTACGGACAGGGATTATTTGCAAGAATTCACAGTGGTTTTGTATGTAGCTTGGTCATCTAAGTACAGTGATTTCTCTACCACACCTTAGCCTCTTTTCTCCAAAGCCTTGGGGGTAACAGATGCTAGTTTTGTTCCATATTATGCCCTTCTCTTTGCAGAGCTGTAGGAAGGGCCAGCTTTGTTGGGTGCATTCCCACATTCAGCTCACTGAGCTGTTATGCCTGGAAAGTGCATCCCTGCAGGAACGCACACACGACACTCTTCCATGTGTGTCTCCGGATCCCAGCATGTCTATCTGACTTCTCTTTGCAGCTATTCATCTGTCTTTTCCTGGATTCAGTAAGAATAGTGACCTACTTGTTCCGACCGACCTGCCATTCCTGACATATAACCAAGGTCTTATAACTTATAACAGATCTTATAAACTGTGCTTCTCATTCGTTAAGTCTGAAGTCTTCATGGCCTCTCGTGTGTGTGAGACGCTGCTGTACTTGCCACCCAAGAGCTCAGAGTTCTGCCAGTTTCCCTTTCCGGGGCCCTGCATAGTTAGCAGGGGTGGTGAACCATTCTGTCTTAATTTTTGAAAGGTTGCTGACTGTTTACTAATGAAAAAAGAAGTGTCATAAAGTAATCCCTAATAAAGTGAAATGAGGAATACATAATTTGCCTTATAATTAAAAAAGAAAGGTTAGAAATTCTGAATCTATGAAGCTCATAAATGTTACCACACTTCACCTATATGTTAAAGTAGCTATTTTTAGTTTTTAAAAAGTTGATGCTTCTGATTTGAGAAGTATTTCTTGGTTAAA